ACTCGTTGATGTTCCACTGCTCAATATATATATATTTTTTTATTATTAAAAAATTATGTCCACATAAATTTATAAATTAAACTTTACTCACTTTTTGAAATATAATCAGTATCTTTTTTTTACATAGCTCTGGAGCTAAACGTCTTATTGAATGGCTTGTACAAAGTAATTAAACTTAATTACCAGATCCTGCACCATAGCAGTGATCTTGTTGTAAAAAAATATAACTTTAATATTCTTGATAGGTCTGTATTCAAAAGGATTTTCGTCTTCTTTAATCGTTTAAAAATTCTAACAACTACTGAAATAGAGGCAACATTTTTTTTTTTACTTTTTAATTAATCTATCAACAACAATTATATTTCTAAAATAAATACATCCTTCTGCTTGTAAATATATTTCAATGGCTTATGAACACATCCTCTGGTTTCAAGTATACATAAAAATATATTCGTATCAACAACAGTAGATATAAAATATATGCATGAACTAGTGAAAAATAGTAAAATTAAATAGCTTCTCTATATTTCATGAATAATCAATAAACAATGTAACTGAATCGTTATATTCTACCGTAAACACATCTATTGTTTATCACATATGAAAAACAGCCAGTATCGCGGAGTTTATGTACCATCGTTATTTATTGAGAAAATAATACCTGTACTGCAAAAATTCAATGAGCAAGCAAACACCTCCATCAGGAACTTACAAAAAAGACTGAACAATTTTATTACTGGATTCAGACAGTTGCCGAAGTATTCTGCAGTGCTTCTTGTCGTATTCGTTGACAAACTTCAAACTTAACAGCTTAGCGGCTACGATGAGGGAGTGCTCGTTTTTATCTTCGATCAGACCCTCGAGAAAATCGGCACGGTTGCATACTATCCTGGAGTACTCGTAGGATTTGAAGCCAGAGGTAAACTCGTGAATCAGCCCGACGATGTGCATGAAATACTCTGGCTCGTACCTACTGAGCAGACTGTCCAGGCTCTTGCTCAAGGTGCTACCGAATCTCCTGAACGACGGATGGCTTTTCACGTAGCAAAGGCTTAGGAAGATCATCACGTGGCCGTAGGAGTGCTCGTACGGACCGAACGCCAACTTGAACTCGGCCAACAAGCCCAGCGTCAGTTTCTCGCTAACCGTGAACTTTTGCACTCGGCTCACGTAGGTGTACAACAAACTCTCGACCACGTTGGGCGCGCACCTCCGTTTCTCCACGCCGAGGGCGTACCAGCGTTTAGATTCCATCACCAACAGGCCCATCAGGTGCTGAAGTCTGTCGTCAAAGTCGACGCTCGTGGGATTCAGGTAGAATTTGATCACGAACCGATACATGCAAGTTAAATCCATACTGACGTCCTCCATGTAGAACCCTATCACATCCCGGCAAACGGCTGTGGACAGGTGATCCTGGACGTTCGACTTGATGTTATCCAGCAGGAGGTCGACGATTTTGGCCGCGCTGTGTCTACTCATGCCCTGCTCGATGAAGCTGCGCACCTTGGTAAGTACCAGGGTCACGTAATCCGAGGCGAAGTCGACGGGCATTGGCTCGTAGCCGATCAAATCCTCGAGGTCCAGCTCCTCGCCAATCTTGACGTCTTCTATGAACCTGCGCACGAGCCCCCAAGTGTCCTCGCCCGGTCGCCCGACAAAGAGCTTGCCGATCTTGTCGGCCAGTATCTGGCGTACCGCTCTGTGCTTCTCGGTCTTGTGCATGTACCCCAGAAAGGCGACCAAGTCGGTGCGCGAGGCCATGCTATCCATCAGCCTGATGGCGTGGCGCTTGCAGAAGAGCCGCTCGCGCGACAACTCCCGCGACAGTTCGATCAGTCGGTCGGATCTAGTGCGGTAAGCGACGTAAGACCACATCTTCATGCATCCGTTCACGTAACTCTTGGAATAGTACATGTAGCGGACTGCCAAGAAGTCTTGCACCAGCTCGATGGTCGGAGTATTTGCGTTCTTTATGGCCGCGGCCACGTGGCTGGCGCTCGTGCAATTGTGGCAGCGATATTTCTCATCCACGCTCGGTATGAACTTGCGCGCCACTTTCGACAGGATGGGGCCGTCGAGGAGATGTCCCAGTAAACTGATGTTATTTTCTTGCAATGCCTGCTCGGCGAACTTGATGGGCACCTCGTGGTACCACTTCAGAGACTTGAGAAACTGCCGGACGTAGTGCTTTTTCTTCGGCACGAGCGCCTGCTGGACGCAGCACTCGTAGTAGCGCTGCCAGTCCTTCTTGATCTCGCTATAATTTTTCTTCAGCGCTATTATGGCCTCCGTGATGTACGTGACTTTGGGCTTGGTGACCACTACTGCTGGCACTTTTGTATTTTCAATCTCGGAAATGATGAGCGTCTCGGTATCTTTGTACTCCTTGTGGGGACAAGTGGCACACGTGCATTCGGTATCGCCCTCCGGGAACCAACTGTTGAACAATTCTGGCTCGTGCTGCTTCAGTTTCTCTGCCATAGGAATTTTCCAGTTTCCCTCCCACGTTGTGAATTTCAATACCCTCTCAACGATTTCCAATAGATGAGGGTAATCCTTGATCGAGAGCCTTGGCACGTTGTTGTCGGCAGTACAGTGACGCTGGTTAAAGTTGTAAATACCGTCGATGACGTTGATTTTGTAAGCCATCGAGAGCCAGTAATTGTTCCTCATACACACGTCCAGGTACCTTCGCTCGTACTCAGCCTCGTCCTCCAGTAACTTCCACGACATGCCCACACGACCCTCCAGGAACAATTGAACTATGTGGTCGATTATCTCATTGGCCGGTAATTCGTGCTTGTCACAGAAATGCACGTACTCCTTGAGTATCTTGATCAGTACCCAGTAGTCCCTGGCGTTCTCCTTTTTCAGCTTGGTTCTTTTGATGATGTTGAACAAGTGTCGCCAATAATTCTCATCAAACTCGTTGATGTTGAATTCCTGCTTTATCCTGTCCAGCATGCTGAGCATGAGGTCTGATCTTTCGTTGTGATAATTTTCATCAACGAATTGCAGCACGTCCAACAAGGCCTCGGTACTTTCGTTGAGCTTGCAGACGTAAATCATCTGAGAAAAGATCTGATGCTTGTTTGATTTCCAATTTCGCAAAATTTTTGCTTTCAACGCGGGTATTGCCTCGTTAATTGGGAGATAGCACCACCACGAGATCTCGCAATCCGTGAGTGGCATCTTGTGTTGTTCGTTGACTATCTTGCGAGCTAGAGCAAAACGTTTTTCCTTGGGTAGAAAAAGTAAAAACTTGGGAATTATTTTATCGACCTCTTCAAACAGATCGCGGCCATACTTTTCCATGACTTTTTCTCTCAGCAAGCTGGCCCTTTTTTCTTCTGGATAGTACTCCAAATAACCTATGATCTCGTCCATGAGAAACATATCCCAGCATTCCTCTAGTAAGTTGCCAAACATCATTTCAAACTCTTCAAGGGTTAAGCTATCATAGATTAATTTGAGTGGCACTAATTGGATAATATTTCTTGGGTTTTGTATAAAAATATGCTTTGCCTCTTTAAAAAGCATCTTGGCACGTCGGTTTCCCAAATTTGAAGATATGTGGTGGATTTCCTGCATTATCAGAAAAATCTCGGGATGCTTGGGAATGAGCATAGGCACGAAATTTTCATACTTGCTGGCATCTAGTAACCTGAACATAGTTCGACTGATCAAATCTGTCTTGTATGGATTAAAAAAGTTCAAATACTTCACAACTACTTCAGAGTGATTTCTATACAATTTTTTTAGCAACTTGTTTGTCAGCACAATTTCATACTTAACAATGGCATCGTAAATAAATTCGCTCGTACAATTTGGTAAAAAGCTAACTGCCTCCTGCATCCTGTAGTCAGTTACAAAACCATTAAAAAAATCCGCTGCTACTCCAGTTTGCTGTCCACCCAAGCATACAGATAATTTTTTTACAATTTCTCTGCGAGTCTTCATAGAAACAAATGGGAACACTATGGATGAGAAATATTTGTAATTAGTCAGGAGTTTGTTGCTGCCATCATAAAACCATCTGGCTCTGAGAGCTTCATTTATCAAATATGTATCGTCAGACTTCAAAGCCTCTATTATAAATTCAGAATTGTGTGTTTTAACCCCAACGAGAACTTTGATCAAAGGCACTATAACACCGGACACATTATTTTTCTTGACACTGATTTCAAAATCAACATCATCTTGTGCACATATGCTCTTGACTATCTGTCCAATAAATTTAAATTTCTCTGCTCTGGTGTCACCAGGAATATCTTGAATGTTGTATACATAACTAGTAGATAATATTTCCATTATAAAGAGTAAAGAAATATCACCTGAAAATAAAAAAAAATAAAAATAGGTCTTTACATTGAATGTTCTTACACTCGTTGAAACATCTTACAATGTAGTAATATTTGATTAGCCCAGTGTTGATGATCAAAAATAATACCAATGATGATTCAAATACGTGAAATACGCGCGTTTGTCAATAAATAAATGAAACACAAAACTGATACGAAAAAAAACGAGATTTGTAATCCAATTTCCTGTTAGATAATTATAAGTATCAACAATACACACCTGAACATCACATGTCTGATGCACCCACATTTATATGTAACAAGTAACAAGTACAGATATAGGGTAGGGTTAGTAAGTAGGTATACAATTCATTACACTCATTACATGATTACATCATCAAATAATCCGAAATCCGAAAGTAGAGAGAGAGAAAGAACGGACACATTGCACCATCATTGCACATTTATTAATGATATACGTGTACAGTAACATTGCAGATTGACGATTGTTTACACACCAAAATACTTATAGAAAACGTATCTATAAAATAGAAATATTTAAATCTATTGTTCGATGCCTCGGTATATGCAGTGATGTATAAATGATGCTTGTTTAATAAAATCTGTCTTGAACATGGCGGAGGAGAGGCTGGATAGGCATCGTCTGCTGCAGGAGCGGGACTTTTGAATTTGAAATATTCACCAATGAGAGCACGAAATGTCACCCCATGTTACAATTCCCTTTTACCATAATATATATGGCACTTATGCCTATCTTAGTAACATTGGGCAATGAGTTCTCAGTTTAATAAATTCCAATCAATGCATCTATCCTCTTTCTTCCTTTCCTTGTCTAATTTTTTAAATTTTATTATAATTTAACTTCTGGTTATTCCTACCTTTATCTTACGATTTCGATTATATTGCGAAAGGAAGACTGGATGAACTTTTTAATTGTCACTCGATTTTATCACTATATCTCGTGCTGTTGATAGTTTTTATTGTAGTGTGACTTCCCAATATATTGTTGTGTACAGTTGAAAGAATACGGAATAAAAAGCTTTTCACTATTTTTAAGTTACAAGTGTTCGTAAGACAAAAAAAAGAATTGAATAACAATCGTTTCTCCAAGATATGACGAAAAAAATTTTCTCAGCATTTATATACTATTATGCATATAATTTAAATAAAATAGACTAAAATTTTCAAAGTGTCGCTATTATATATGTACTGGTACGTTAATTCATTAAAAAAAATCATCATTTTTTATTTTCTCATACAAATTATTAATGGAGGAGTAAGGAGTGTGAAATAAAACAAGATGCAAGCTCGTTGTTACAGAAAAAACGTGGTTGATGGAAAAAAAAATTTATAATTTTTTTTGCCCAAGTGCTTTCTTGTTGTTTCGTGCCAAGGACGAACTGAAGACTAAACGTGCCAAACACATTGTCACCATCGAAACGTGCCACGAATGGGTTCTAAAAAAATACTTGCGCAATATGTCCAAAATCAGTTCTTTGGGAAAACATATGACCATCTTTTCCTCGATGACCGTCAAAATACGCACTATCCACTTTTCTTTCCACTTTGTATGATCATCGTTCACCGCCAGGGCCTCGACTTTAGTTAACAATTTCTTCACGTACTCGGGACAACAACGGCGAGGCAATGCATGGATTTTGGAAATGAAAATCCCTAGGTCAGCGTCATCGTCGACAGTGACAATGTCTATGCAAATATCAACGAGCGATTGTATTTTTTCATCACTCAACTCTTTCGCGTAGCTAAGAATTTTACGCGTTACCATACGCCTGTGCCATGGTTCACGCTTTTCCGCGTACAATTTACGTAAAAGACTCTGTACTTCGTCAAAGTCACCCACCTCGGAGATCAGTAGAAAAATGGCACTTTTTTTCAAGATGTTAGGGTTATTCCAGAGCAGATCTATGAAGCCCAACACTTTTGTCTTCTCGACGTGCCGACCGAGTCTCGAAATCACGCGCAGCATGATCTTTGAATTATCCGTATTCTGGATAAATGGCAACAAAAATGTCAAATCTACCGGTGGATTGGACGCATTGACAGCCGAAGGGAACGAGGGTAAAATTTTGTAAGTCCCCATCGGGTCCAGCTCGTAAATATCCATACTCGGGGCCCTTGGAGCATACCGAGACAGCAATTCACCCAACGACTCGCCTTCCACGAGAATACCCAAAACGTCCAAACTCCCCTCGCTGCCGATTTCCAACGAGCAGCGTTCGATGAACTTTATTGGCAACTCGTTGTGCCATTTCAGAGCAAGTACGAATTTCCGAGCTGCTTTTTTTGAACGGCGATACAACATGCTCCGGCACACGTGCAAGTATTGTTCCCAGTTGGCCAAAATTATTTCTGGGTGGTTTTTCAGCTCCCCACGGACACGGCCGTTCAACAACATCTGGCGCACGCACTCACTCGTCGGAGGTATCTTGGATCGATGGAATTCCGGGTCGTACTCTCGGATGACACTTCTGAGGTTGTCGACGAGAGAGCCGCAATCGTTACTTTCCTTGAATATTTTGCATATGGTATTCGCCAGCCAAGTGTAATCCTCCATTTTTGATAATCTTGCGGAGGTGGGATAATTTTTGTCGTTATTCTGGTTCTTTTTTTTTATCACGTTGTGCTCATGCAACTTGGATACAATATTCATTAGAACTTGAACTCTCTTGACTTTGTCTTTCCACGTGGTGTGGTCTTCGGGGTAAATTTGCGGGATCGTCCGTATCATTTTGTCCAAAACGTCCATTTCAAGTTTTGGATTCGATGGGAGAATGTCCCATGGCGAGCGGCTGTAGAATTCAATCTTAAATTCCAGATAGATGTTTACCAGTTTGTCAAATAAAACTTGCCCGCCCGCGTCGTTGTCGGATTGGCCGAGCAAAAGATGAATCTTTGAAAAAATAAGGTGCACCACGTCATCCCCCGACAAAAACAAATTCTTGAACACGTACTGTTGTATGACCAACTTGTAAAACTCTGACAAAAGCGTTACGTTGGGATTCATCGCGTCCAAAGCTTTTACAATCTCAGGCAGTACAGCTCGGAAAGTTGATGGCAGTGCATTTTTGTGTCGATCGTTGTAAAAAGACAGAAATTCCAGCAAACCTTCTTGGCTTTTATTAATTTTGCAAGTCATTATCATTTTAGTGACCAATGACAACTTTCCCTCCTTTGGAGGTGATGATGAATTGTAAGCGTCCATTAACATCTTGAGCGATTCATCTATTGGCAGGTAACAACAACACTCGTAATAGAAAGAATCCAAATCTGGTCTAGGATTCATCATCAATCTCTTGGCTTCATCTGTTCGTTCCTTGCCAGTTAGATATGAAAATAACAGCTTATACTCGAATGACAAAAAACCGTCGGAACAACGTTGACCTTGTTCCCCTTGATTCCTGACTCTATGTAGTAACTGTAATATCTTTTCTTGTGGGTAGTAAGCCAAAAAAGGGAGCACGTCATCTATCCCGCAACATTTTCTTTTCAAGACGAGATGAGAGACAAAAGTTTCAATCTGTTTCAAAGTTAGTAGGCCATGCATTTCTTTTAAACGTGATTGAATATTGAAAAATTCCAAACGAGTAAGTAATTCCTCGCCATATTTATTTTTATAAATATCCGTTATTAAATCTAGGCGATTTTCTATCGCGTCGTATCTCAATAACTTAAGAATTTCGAAAAAATCAAACGAACTCCTTTGCTCTGAACATAGATTACCCAGCACCTTCATGTACTGCTTCAGCGTAAGATTCTTCCGCAAAGATCTAAACGAACAATCTTGGTACTTGTGTATGTTGCTCATGATGTACTTCGGATTATTCCGTGTCAGGTAATGAGTAAGCTTACAGCCCAATTTTGGCCATTGCTTGCCACTCAATTTTTCAAACAGCACAATGTAATCCGAAGTATGGTTTTTTATCAGCCTAGGAACAAACCGTATCACCGGCTCCAAAACTTTATCTTTTTCATCGGCATTGTTCGTCATCTTGTGCATGTAATCGATCACGAGTTTTGGATGTTTTTTAAACAGAATTCCCAGGGTCTTAGTAGACAGTACCACTTGGCGCTCCGTCAATATGCCATCGATGATCTGTTCGCTGCAGCACGTGATAAACTGGAAAGCTTCTTGAAAACCGTATCGGTCGTAGAAAAAGTTGAAAAACTGCTCCCCCTTGGCTTCGTCGTTCGCCAAAGACTGGGACAACCGTTTTATGATCCTCAACTTGGTGCGCTTGCTAACGAGAGGTAGGATATTGGCAACGTACGCGGTGTTTATGTAATCGTTCGTGGAGTAGAAAAACCACTTAGCTCGTAGAGCTACGTTCACCACCTTGACATCCGGGCATTTCAAAGCTTCCTCGATTTCACCCGTTAGCCGCAGCTTTTTTCCAATGTGAGCTTTTATTAGCGGATGCAGTGCAGGTGTGCAGGCGTCCCACGTGGCTACGTCTCCGTTGTAGCTGCAAGGCTCATTGCTACCGGCAATTATTCCTTGGACCAGGGTATTGATGGTCTTGTATTTTTCACCGGGAGTGTTTCCAGGCAACGATTGGACAGCTGACAGGTATGGAGACCTCTTGATGTCCTTTTCGAATCCTTTGTTGTCCACTTCCATCATGGTATCGGATTCCATCGTCTGGAACAAAAATAACAAACACAAATCATAAAGCAATGAAATAAACGTGTGATGGAATTTCACGGTGAATCGATTGATGCATCAGTTTTTGAACCAACCAGCTTATAAGGAAAATTATAAAAGTGTATAGTCGATGGCACTTTATGAGGTTTGGGATTCGACTAATCGTAGTGTTTCGTTTGGGGGCGAAAAATAATGTTTTCGAGTGCAGTATTTGTTCAGTTGTTGTTTATGTTGTTTATTAAATTATTGAGATTCCTTGGTCGATGATATAAAATATTCAGAGAACACATAAAATACTAAAATTATGACAGCTCTCAAGACATCTTCTGAATTTTCTTCAAAGTAGTATTTGTCCAGTATATTAATAATCAAGTCCTCGTTCATATATTCAACTATGTTGTAACGAATGGTACTCAAAAGACTGCTTATAAGCTTTGATTTGACAATTGGTTGTAAATCTTCCTCGGAAAAGCTTTCAATTTTGGCCAAGATTTTCGAAATGTACTGAGATGCATATTGAAATTTCTTAGCTCGATTTTTTAAAATGTCCATGTCACAAATTAATGCCATTGGAACTTGATCGTTGGCATTTAGATGATCCATACAAAATTCCATGAGTCTCCAGTTAATGTCGGAAGGTGATTTTACGAGCCTTTCTTTCAATACCGACACAATTGATTCTCGCATCGATACGTTAGACTCCTGCATCCACAATTTCCGTATCAACTCTTTGATCTCGTTCGGCACTGCCACGTTACAGAAAATCTTGATCCTATGCTTCCTCATTGAAACTGATTCATCCGTTAATTCCATCGCAAAAGCTATCATTTTAGATTTGGCAGCTCGTCGGACCACATGGCTGTACGTCTGAATGGCCATTTGAACGTAATCCCCTTGGAAAAAGTAGGATATGCTGTGGAACGATACTGGTGGGTTTGTTAAATTCATAGCTGGTAGTATTGTTTTGACGAGCGTGTGGTAGGTCTTTGCATGGCTGGCGCATATCGAGGGGCCGATCGAAAGCCTTTTGGGTCTGAAAGGGGCCACCAGCTGGTCAAAAACATCCCTTTCCAGCATAATTGCCAGAATCTTCATGACGTTGTCTCCTTGAATGTCTTGCAAGCAGATCTCGATGATTTTTCGTGGAAGGTCCCTGTGCCATCTAGTGCTGAGGAGAAAGCGTCTGGCAGCCGTGGCCCCGCGCTTCGAGTTGGAGTGCAATTTTAATCGGCAGGTGTCGAGGTAGCTTGTCAAATTATTAAAAATCATTTCAGGATTTTTTTTCAACCAAAGCCATCCCGTGACTGGTTCCAACTCGTCCGTACTCGGTTTTGGGAAACAATCCCTGAGCAGACCTTCGTCGTTTTTGGACAACAACTCCCGCAAATCTCGCAAGCCAGCGCCATCCATTTCTTCATCCACTGTGTGCACTGCCTCTTTTATCATGTTGGCAAACCAAGGATAATCAGTCGCGCGTATCTCCACAAGATCTTTCTCTTTGATGATCGATTTTTTAACCGCCTCGCGGCCTTTATCGTTGAAGAGAACAACGTCTCTTAATAGGCTCACGATTGCCTTATTTTTTTCCCTGAATCTTGCCATCTGTTCCCATATGCAATGATCCCTCGGATACTTCGTCGACATCAATTTGAGCATCTTGTCGAAGCACAGTCCTTGAAATTTGTTTTTTTTAATCAAAATCCATAATTTATTGGTGGAGTTTAAGTTGTAGTCGATTGTCATTTCTAATATTAGGTTGAGAATTTTTTCACCCTCTTCGCTCATGATTCCGTGATCGGTAGTGCTCTGGATCATGAGGTGGTACACGGTGGATCGCAGAAATGGTTTGATTTGCAAGATATTCAATTTACCAAGTTCATGGTTGGTGTGGGCTCTCTGCATCATTTTCCAAAGTTCATTCCAATTGGCTCTGTCGAGAGTTTTCAGGTTAAATTGTTCGCTCAAGTAGCAAAGCACCGAGCCCAAAATGTCGATTTTTTCATTTTTGTGGTGTTCATTGTAATATCGCAGGAGCTTGAGCAAATTTTCTTTATCCTCGTAAAACCCAACCGAGTGCAACATATGTTTTATCCACGTGCATCTATCACTGGAACGCGAAGACTTGTAGACGAGGTCCGTAAATACCGAAAAAGTTTCGGACGGCGGCAAGTAGCTGTACCAGTCGTAATATTCTTCGGAAAACTCTTTGGTAAGTGTGATCAATTTCTTCGCATACCTGATCTTGTCCTGTGCCGGCATCAATTTTAACAATGACCCAAACTCCGGGGTTTTTATGTAAGGCTCATCAATACTATCATACAAATCTTTCTTGTATTTTGCACGAAATGCTTGCAGCAGGAGACTCAAGCGCTTTTCTTTCGGGTATTTTATATGATCAAACAACTTTAATGCCTCGAGTATCCAAATATTATCCGCACAACCAGGAAGATACTTTGGGAGCAACTTTTCAAACTCTTCCACCGGCAGTACCTCGTAAACTATCTCGAGATCTCCACGTTCGATGCTCGTCGTGTCACTAAACAATTCGATCCCGTACTTCGACTTGAACTGTCCAGAGATCAACCCCAATCGCTCCTCTGTCGGATAATACTTCAAATAATTCAACAGTTTTGGGTAATTGAAATCTTTCCGATCGGCTGGAAGCAGATTCATGAACATTGCTTCGAACTGGGATTTTCTGATCTTTTTGCCAATGACTTTCATGGGCCACAGCCGCAGGTACAGCTCAGGATCATCGACAACGGCTTGGCTTGCACTTTTGAAAAATAGCTTCGTGACTGTGCCCCCGAGTTTCATCAAACCGGACTTAGGTAAGCCTTCGTGTTTAGAATGATCCTGCAAGAGTTGCACGAAATCCTTGACGCGATGGCGAATCAAAATCTTGAGGAAGCGAAAGAAGTCGTTGGAAAAGAATTTTATCGGGTGAAAGAAGTGACTTGGGTCATCCCCCGATTTTTTGAAATCGATAAAGCTCTTCAGCAAGCCCATCACCATGTTTGGGTGGCGTTGGTAAAACTGGAGGAGCAGGTTGCTGCTTATGATCAACTTGCCCTTCAACATTTCCGACTTGATGAAATCCTCCCCGCACAACGGTACGAAAGGCACCGCTTCCTCGTAACTGTAGCCCTCTTGAATGGCCGTGAAAAACTCCTCGGCCCGTTTTTCTTTGCCGATCAGACTTTGCGTCATCGCTTTCAATATGTGAAACCGAGCGTGACGGGACACTTGGGGTAAAATGGCGCGGACAATCAAATTCACATCGGCGCTCGGGCCTTTGAAGAACCACTTGCACTGCAATGCTTGATTGAAAATCGTTATGTCCTCGGACTTGAGGGCTTCGATCACAGCGCTCTCCGACCTTGTGGCATTGCCAACGAGGATTTTCACCAACGGCGCTAAAGCCGGTGGGACGTTTTCCATCGTATCTCTACCCGAGGGTTCTCTCTGTACTATGCGTTGGACCATTTCGTTCAGCTCCTTGTACTTTTCACCCGGAGTGTTGCCGTTCAGCTGCTGAATGGCCGACAAGTAGGGAGAAATTTCTAGGCCCTTTTTTATGTGCTCCGACAACTCTTCCATTATCTGTAACAATAGAGTTTTAATTAAGGTCACGAGTGTGTCCTTCTCATGAGCTGTGACCAAAAATTTTATGCGTAAGCTGCGATGATGCAAAACATCAACAATTTTTACCGCAGGAATAAAAACCAATCAACTTTTCGAGTGTTTGAAATTGGCAAGTACTTATTTGCTGTACGTTTTATACTTACAGAAGGAAGAATCACTTCGTGCTCATCAGTACACATTTTGGCCTTTTTTCTTTTCATTTTTCACTAGACTCTGGGTTCCAATAGCCGACTGTAACTAATAAACATAATCAAATACTACGTTAAAAACATCATGAGACACGCAACGTCAAAAATTTTAATTGCTTTATCGCCTATTTTTTAGTACAACAAATGTGCATTGCTTGGGTATTTGATCGTTATTCAATAGTCTGTACTTAATTTTCATCCGAGGATTGAAACTTGCATTACGCGTTAATTGTATCGCTTTCACATTTTTGTTATTAGAGTATTTAATACGTTTGTTCGATTAATAATAAATTTATTTTCATAATATTGAGTATATGTTAAAAAAAGATTCACTGTACTTGGTAACTTAAGTTTGGTGATATTAAAAATGGACATGGAGGATCGATGAAAAATATGAATATCTTATTATAATAATCATTTGGATAAAACATTTTTCTAAAAACAATTAAAAAATTATGTACAGCTGATCACGTAGGTTGTTTATAAATAGAACTAAAAAAAAAAGTCCAATCCTCAAAGTATATTTTTAAGCAATTCACCGAAGCTATAACTATAGACACGTACGTGCACGAGGATAAATTCGTGGATTTGTGGGGGAAGGAGTAACAGAAAGTCCACACTTGCTTAATTGTTTACGTGTATCGCCTACACCTCCGTAATTTCGAGCCTCAAGAGTTTCAACCGAAAAACGTTAGGCAAGCGGTGATCTTATTGTCTCCCGATAACAATACTTTCATGTTTGACTCGCCAGCATTCAGCTATAAGTAACAATGCGAGTAATGTGCTTTCAAAAAGTTGCGCAATAATTTTATAGTTTACCACATCCAAAATTAAGCATTGCAATTGTAAGTAAACAAAATAAGACAGCCCGAGAAATGCAGACCTTTTTTGAAGAAAAGTATGGAATAAACTTTTTTTTTAAACAAGGAATATTAACATCATAGCAACATAATGTACGGCTTGACGAGGGAACGTACTTTGTTGTTGTGTACAAGTGTTTGTATATAGAAATACATTGTGCCGCGTAAAAGGTCGAAGCTAAAGACAAATGGTGTTTGGCTCTTATCTGTGAATTTATCGTAGGAGCACCGCTCGGCCTTGTCTACTTCGATTATCACTTCGAAAAGAAATTTCTAAAAATAGCTTATGGACAAACCTGAAAATCTTGATTGTTTTTTACAGCGACCAAAAAAATTTGTCTAAATATTTCGGTACGTCATTAATCTTCAGAACGCACTCAAGTAACAATATTTAAATAAAGTTTTCTTTTGTACGACCAAGACAATTAAACTCTTGGCGTAGCGGTTTGTCAACTTACGCGGTCAAAGGCGTCGTTAACATTATTAAAGTTTGCCACAACGCTTAACATTTTAAAACGTTCCAGTAGATGGATAAATAACGTTACACTTCGAAGAAACGAAACCCACGATTTTCTATAATAATTGTAAATTCAAAATTATAACTTTTAACGAACGTGACAACGTTAATTGTTGGACACATGTGCAGGAAATATCTCAGCTAGATAACAAAGAAAAAAATTAATTGAGATGACACGTGGAGTAAAAACGTTAAAAGCAACGCGTTGATGCATCATTTTAATTACGCCGGAAACATATTATTTAAACGAAAACAATCTTGATATACGTATAAAATCGCTCGTGAGTAATCACGTCGCAAAATAATTTTAATATAACCAGCATTTGTCCTGCAAATAAAAACCTCAAAAACATATCTTAGTATGGCTTTTATTTGCAGCTGCGCTCACTCAATTATCCCCAAAGTAACGCCATAAAACTACCCTTGAAAAAACAAGCACAAATGTCTACAATAAAAATGCAATACTTATGTACATACTCGATCGGATGAAAGCAATTTTTCGCCAACAAGGCACCAGACTTAGATGGAGATACAGGTAGTTTAGTAGGTATGACTCACTTGACTTAAGAAGCGCTATTGCACTCATAGGCAGGACTGCGTATGACTGAAGGCGTGATGTCGTACTGAAAAAATTTACAGCTTATACTGCTCCGACACTGGTGTGACTAAATAAGCAATTAATCACGCGTCAACGCCAGCGGCATTAATTACAAGTTTCTGTCTTACCGATCACTTAGTTGAATTTACATGAAATTACAAATAAAGTAGTCATGTTCGTGGAATGAAAATTAATGGAAGGTACGAGCCAAATAATCGACAGAGGCACGAAAAAGCGTATTAATCTGACTTTATTTTGTATGCACATAAGCTCGAAAACCGATGGAATTTACAATATCGTGAGTCATCAATAAGTAAATTTCCTCGTAAAGATGATCGTACGTGCTACTATTTACAAATGAAACATGAAAATCTTATCCCTCCCAGGCTATACGATACAATCGCGTAAACCCCAAACTTTGTCCGATGTACAGTTGTTGATTGGGTTATTATAAAATACATGGTCTTGCTCGGGCGTGCGTGCCTCGGGAGACACACAAGCTGACAAACTCGCAGAGCTTCGAAGCGAAACTAATTGCTCGTATGAGGATGAATTACCATCGGCTTGGTGTGCTCATTGGTATGCGAACGCTGATCGCGGCATGGGACGGCCAAACGTGATAATATTTGAAAGCTCGTGGACAGAGTTGCGTTGTAAATAATACTTACTCAATGGACCCTCCGTACACGATTCGATCGAGTTATTTTTCAATCATTTTCGTACTGGATATACATGCACGTTCTTATTTACGTTAATTATTTTTGTCAAGACTTTACTTTTTTTTTTGCGGTGATTAAATATCTACACTCCTCGAGCGACTATAACAGACAACGAATGGTTTTAAAATAATTTTACAAGTAGTAATTCCAATGATGATTAAAAAATAATTAACACTAGTTCAAACTGTTTGCAATACTCAACGTAAGGATTGTATGGTAACATTTTTGTTTGTCATCCCGTAGAGGCAAAAAATGGGGTGCTGAGAGGTACCAGAAAAAGGAAAAAATCATCGAGATCATTTTTATTCCAAACGCGTACTCGTACGGATAAAAAGCAAATGTGTTTCTTCTGGCGTGTGCACGTATATGTATGTATAAAAAAAAGATATCGTTGAAGAGGTATACGCTGAAGGAGAGAAAAGCAAGCGTATGGAATGAGATAAGCAGCATATAGCGTATAGGTGTCGTAGCAGCAAAGGAGCCCAGGTGTCATTACTTGAGTTTCCGTATACATGTGCAAGACACATCTTATTACGAGGACTCTCGAGGACATGTATTTTCACACGCATGTATGTGTTCTTCTTCTTTCTCTGTACCGCTTTTCCTCCCATGGGTACATACATGCGTATAATACAGGGACAAGTGCCACTGTGAGCAGTATAAATGCAAATGCCAGTTCTACTGTCGAGTGGGGGGAAAGTGAAAATGCTGATGGCAAAAAAGTTGTTGAAAAGTCCGCAGTACCTATTACACGATTTTTCTTTTTTAGCTTCACTGTTTGGTTCAGCTTACGCTTTCACGACACGATTCAGCCCCCTATTTTTTTTTTTTTTTTTCCTCACAATTATCTGCTCGCAAGTATATACATACATGTATGTACGTTTGCATTTCTGATTGTAAGAAAGTGCCGACATGGCGTTTTTGTGACTTTTTTTCCCCGAGTACAATGTGATGAGGACTTAAAGGTCGGCATCGGCAGGCCGTGGCCTGTACGTGAAATTCCAGCGTATCTGACGCGAATGACAATTAGGGGGATGGATGAGAAGGGGTTGATTGCTCTTACGTGTGTATATCTGAATTCGCGATCAAGGACTTTTTCGCTCTTGATTACGATCACGTTTATTTCTTTAAATGCTGAAGAAATGGGGTAGGAGGGAGGGGGTTGAAAAAGAAAGGTCTTGAAATTTATGACTTAATATTCCAAGCGCTCGATTTCATGCGGAAGATAAGTTGGTCGAGCTAAAAGCATGTCTTACTTGGCGCGTGTAGCCAAAAAAAAGGCATCAAGGACACCTTGAGCGCAGCATCTCGGTAAGCCGCGTCCTTGAACTCTTTTATCCCCAGAAATTTGATATTTTTCTATTGCAGTACATTAAAAATGCGTGCACTCTATACTTTCCGCAAAAATATCTAACATGCTCGAGTTGAACTGTATTGCGGCAGTTTTTCCATCAACTGTAGAACGATCGGGAAAAAAGTCCTCGAACTGTGTTACGCGCATTTCGAAGCGTGTAAATGTAATAAACGTAATGGGTTTTTTTTTCTCCTTTACTGATTTGTTGGCTATTTGTCTGTAGAAGCTCGAAAAATCGCGCGTTTCTCGAAAATCAAGGATAAAATTATGACAAGGGGGGAGGCTTTGACGATTTTGTGCACAAGGATCGAAAGGGTTGCACAAGAAAATTTTTTAGGCTGACTTTTGGATTTCCTGTTTACCTATCTTTGAATTTTTTTTTTTTTCTCTAATGGTCGTGAAGAGACACTTTTACATTTTTCAATATTCGAATTTTTTCGAGGTTTCATTCAATGTCTGTACTTTATGAGTTTTAAACGTTTCCTTGTACATATTCGTGCAATAATCTTAAAAAAAAAAATACTTTAAAATCTGATTGAAAAAATTAACGACAGTTAAAAAATTTATATTTATGAAATAAGACCTTGCATTGCTCACTTTATAACTGATGACCACTTTCTATATTTCATCAGCGAAATATCCTATTGAAATTTAACCGAAAAAATGTATTGCCAGTTCTACTGACTGTATACATAATAAGCCAGCTGCATGTATATTTTGGAAATAAAAAAAAAAAAAACCATCGTAAAAAACATCTGTCCCCGGCATCTCATCATTATTACAACGAATAAATCATATAACATGTAATGTAAAGTAGAGGAAACACACGTGCATCCAACCTTTCCGTTCTTTCTTATTCAAGGTTTAACGTATTATGTATATGGATCACAGCCAGCGTGATTGATGCAGGGCTATCGCGAGTCCGCAAATGAGCGGCGCGTGGAAATGACCGAGCTCCATTGGTGCTCTGTCATCGCAAGTGATGGCTTAGGTAAGCAACTAAACGACGATTTCGGGGGAACTGATGCGCGTTTGTTATACAATGCACGTGTGGGAACACAACACCGTTTCACCCCACCCGCGTGACTGATGGGCCGATCGTTTGTTACAATGCATTATACATGTACACACAAAGTGGTAATACACTGAACCTCGAGAATCGAAAAGAAGCTTCATGATAGACCAGATGCCTTTCGGCGGAAGCGATATTTCTTTGGCAAGGAGCGCCTAGAAAATTACTTGGCAGCCGTTGCGTCTCCTTCACTCTGATCCCCTGGACCGCTGTAGGAAAACATTTCATAAAATATTTGTAACGTGGCAGACTACCTACTTTCCCGTGTAGGTGAAAACAATTGTAATTAGTGATATTACTCCTCCAATGTATCTCCATCCATCTGCTTCGTTTTATTCTCATTTGCTTTTTGGGTAAGAGCAAGCCATAATACTTTGAATATTTTCGATGCGGCTTCTTACGCGGAATGTTTTTTTTCTTTTTTAATATGTAAAGTAGCGTCTGAGTGGTTCGATGAATATGCTCTCCGATCGGATGAAAAAAAAAAAAATAAATAAATACATTGAACAAATAGCCGATAACGACATAAATCTTGTAGCTGTCAGTTTGTTTGTGGGTTCCTTTCAAGATTAACGTCGAGAACGAGAGCCTTTCCATTTTTCATCAGACGCAACTAGGACGTATCAAGGTATTCATGATGGGTAGCCGAAGTGTCTATAGAAATACATGGAACGTATGCATTTTAAAAACGTCTGTGAATGAAATAGCCTCATCATCGTACTGCATGGTAAAACTAAACCAAATGTCTATTGATCGATTTTGGCATATAAAGGTGCATTAGTCTATTTAAAGAAACCCCAAGAAATGCTTTCCCTCCCTAATTGAACGAGCAAAAAACTGAAAAAGAATAAAAAGTCCTGGATCTTCAACAACGAGGTACATTATGTTTTTCCTCATTTCTTTGTCCCTCGCAGCTACAAGCAAAGTCACAGTAAATATCACGCTTCGTGTGTCACATGGCTTATGAGTATCTGCACCCGGAGTTTCCTTCGTCTCCGTTGGAAAAAAAAAAAAACCATGGTAGAGGAGAGAACGTCGCGACGAGATAACAACATATTTTTCTCGTGCTCGCGTGACTCACAACACGTATGTACGCTGGACTTTATTGAAAGAAAGTCGACGACAAAAATACCATTGCTCTGTATCTGCTTGAAAATCAGAAAAGCAAATACGTTTTTTTTTTCTTTTTTTTTTTTTCTTCTTCAAGTCAGACAATGAAAAGAGTATATTGTCGATGAAAAGAGGGTGTTTGTATTCCTCGTCTCGTTGTTAGCTACCTTAGAGTATATATATACCATTGCCTTTACGTTTTGTTCATTAACTCCATAAAACACTACTTGGTGGAAAAATTTTTCAGATAAACCGCAACCACCTGGTAAACTAATTTAAAAAAAATCTCCTCTACCTTTTCAGCTACTATGCAAACATAAGTTATTTCAACACGACTAGCTACTGAAAAAAAAAAAAAAAAAGAAAACAACTAATACAAGCTCTTTCCTATTTATACTTATTAACTCGTGTACTTGCGCGTGAAAGTCGTAGAGCCAAGCAATAACATATTATACAGTTAACCACTGACATTGCAAAAAAGAGTGGAGTGCTCACACCCCTAGTGCGTAGCACACACTTTATTGCTTGCTCGTAAAACCGACGCCTGATACGCTATACCACGTGTACAACTCCTTAGCCATAAATCTCTTAGTTTTGCGTGCGTGTGTGGTGTGTGCGGGAACAACACGTTAATCAATCAGGATTCAACTCTTTGTAGGTAGTGAGAGCGAAAAGAAGTTTATTGCAAGTTGGATTGATTTACCGAAGTAGCGCCATCAATGCATATTACAAATTTTGGACGGATTCGAATGGCACGCATTGACTTTTAGTGTACACTTATTGGCTCAAGTCCAA